CCAACAACAACCATGTTCAGTACTCTTTTCATCTTGCAACACTGAAACTCTACCCATTAAACAGTAGCTCCCTGTTCTGTCCTCTCCCAGCCCCTGGCAATGATTATATTACTTCCTGCGTCTATGAATCTGACTACTCTAGGTACCTGATATAAGTGGAATCATACAATATTGTTTGATTATGATTGGCTTATTCCCTTAGCCTAATGTCCTCAAGGTTCATGCTGAAACCCTCCTTCCTTTTTAAAAATGAATAATATTCCATTGTATGTATATACCACATTTTGTTTACCCATTCACCTGTCCTAGGTACTCATAGGTACTTATGTTGCTTCCACCTTTTGACTACTGTGAATAATGCTTCTCTGAACATGGGTGTACAAATATATCTGTAAGATCCTGCTTTCAACTCTACCAAGTGTATGCCCAGAAGTGGAACTACTGGATCATACAGTAGTTTAATCTTTTTAGGAACCACTTTCTATAGTGACTGCATCATTTTACATTTTCACTAATAGTGTACAAGGGTTCCAATTTCTCCCCATTATCACTAATACTTATTTCCTGATTTAAAAAAAATAGTAGCCATCCTAATGCGTGGAGCATTTCACTGAAGGATTTCAAGCAAGGGTTTTTAACCATGATTTAATCTATGTTTTAAAAATGCTGGTCTGACTGCTATGTGGTAAATCGACGGGAAGGTGGTAAGCAGGAATGGAGGTTGGGCTCTCCTCACATAGTGGTTGTACGGAAGAGGGGAGCATACAAAGAGGGGTAGCCAGAATGATGGAGGTGGGTGGTGTGGAAGTCTGAGCGGTGTACTGAAGATTTAAACTGGTTATTGCTGATTAGATACAACTAAATACAACAGGGTTTCTAGGCAGTTCTGATGACTGCCGATTTATAGTGATGCCAGGCTTCCTCCAAAACCCCAAGAGGTCAATGAAAATGGGGAAAAAGTCCCTAAATGGAATAAAGTGGAAGTAAATGGGACAAACTATATAGTAAACAGATCATTTCATTATATTGGAAAGACAAGCATTAACTTAAGTACCTTTTGAACATAATACTCTTGACTTTATACATCCTCAGTGGGATACCCACAAAGGACAGAAGACCTGGGAAGAAATCATATTTGAAACTTTACTTAGTAGATTTGTTCTTGGTGGGTTCTAATGTAGCAGTTCAGAAACCATTTGTGTATATTTTAGGATCAAACAAATACAAACAAGTAAATATTTTGGTGGTGCTGGGCACCAGAGTTCTCACCACAGAAGGAGAGAGATACAAGGATGGAATAAGAGAATAAGAATTCCATGGACTTAGATAAAAAGTAGAGGTATTAGCTTGAAATTTAAGACAAACAAACTTTAAGGAAAAAGCTGCCTACCTCTATTCTCTGAGAAGACCTGGAAGCAATGACATCCTTAGTCTTAATGAACATACTCAGGGTGAAGATTTTGGTTTTCAAATAATATTCCCTATGAACAGAAATCATGGTTCCTCAGAAAAATGGCTAATTTCAAGGCAGGGGCAAGGAACGTGCAAGATGAGACTAGAACTCTTATCGTGCCAGAAAGTGTGAAAACACTCAAAGAAGGATGAGGACATGTCAAAAGGACAAAGGAAGCAGCTTGAAGAGGTTCCTGCTGTCATCTCTGGAACAACTTGAGCAAAGAATGACAGAAATGGACTATAACTCTGGAAAAAAAAAAAAAAAAGAACCCTTAAGTCTGCACTGATATTTTAAAAGTTAAAAATAAAGGGGACAAGAAGAATAGAAACCTTTTTTTAAAAAATGCTAATAAATGTAGAAAGAATAATAAAAAATAACTATTTTATAATTATCACAATAATAGATTCAGGCAAGAATCTTTGATAGATGCTAAAACCACTGGGTGAAAGACCAGTGGGAAGCAGATTATTTAGTCTGCTAGCATAATCCCACAGATCACTTATTAAACACAAGCAAAAACAAATGCCTCTATTGCAAAGAAAACTGGAAAATAGTATCCTAACCAAGCGATCAACTGAACAAAATCAACTGAGACAGACGTCATGACATGCCTGATGTGAAACACTGAGAACACAGCCTCACCCGTGTACAGTAGGTCCTCGGGTTACATTGGAGATCCATTCCTACAGTCGACAAAACGCGATTTTCGCCACAAGTCGGAACCTACCTACATAAGCACCTACGTCACTCACATGGAGCACATACACACCAGTAATGAAGTCAAACAGTAAAAAAAATTTAAAAGATAACAATTCCTGACCTCTACCTGTGGTAAATAAATAATAAAAAACATAAAGCACCTATGTACATACGTCAAAATGACGAACTTTTTTTTTTAATAAATAAGTGGGAGATGGCGACGTAACCACGAAATGAGGTACGTTGAGTCCAACATAACCCGAGGACTGTCTGTAGTGTCCTTGTGGAAAATGTTCAACCTACATCACACGATGAGGAAACAATCTGATCAATCCAATCCTGAGGAAGAAATCTGAACATTCTACACAACAACTGACCTCAAGTCTTCAAAAATACCAATGCCACACACACAAAAAGTCTAAGAAACTGCCTAGGTTAAAGGTAATTAAAGAGACATGATAATAAATGCAATGTGTGATCTTGTTTGGACAAGAAAAAACCCTCAAACCCAGAACCAAAAGACTAGCTAGCTTAAAGGGACACTGCTGCGCTGAATGCAGAAATCTGACCGTGAGCTGTGCAGTAAATGACACTAATGTATCAATGTTACAGCTCCTGAGTGTGATGACCTGTATTAAGGTTACAGGAGCATGCCCTTTTAAGGAGATAAATGCTGAAATATTTAGGAGTTAAGATCCATAAAGTCTGGAAATAATTCTCAAGATGGTTCAAGAACAAAAAAGCATCTAAAAATTAAGCAAATAGGGCAAAATGTTAAAAACATTTGGTGAATCTAGCTGATGGGTATATGAGTGTTCACTGTAATATTTCTGCAACCATCTTTTCTGTAGGGTTGTAAATTTAAAAATAAGAAATTAAGAGAATGAGAAGACAAGACTAGGAAAAAATATTTGCAAAACACATACTATATGATAAAGGACTGTTATCCAAAATATGTAAAGAATTAAAACCCAACAATAAGAAAACAATTAAAAATGGGCTGAAGACCAGAAGAGCCTCACCAAAGAATATATACATATGGTAAATAAGCATATGAAAAGATGCTTAACATCATATGTTATTAGGTAACTGCACATTAAGACAAATAATGAGATACCATTACACATCTATTAAAATGGCCAAAATCTGAACTGCTAACACCAACAAATGCTGACAAGGATGTGAGACAATAGGAATCCTAATTTATTGCTGCTGGGAATGCAAAATAGTATAGTCACTTTGGAAGAGAGATGGCAGTTTCTTATAAACCTAAACATACTCCAAAGAAAGCCCACTACGTGGGAAAACATATTTGCCAATGTCATATCTGATAAGGGCCTAATCTCCAAAATTTATAGGGAACTCATACAACTTAACAAAAGGAAGATAAACAATCCAATCAAAAAATGGGCAAAGGATCTAAACAGACACCTTTCAAAAGAGGACATTCAGAAAGCCAAGAGACATATGAGAACATGCTCAAAGTCACTAATCATCCGAGAGATGCAAATCAAAACAACAATGAGGTACCATCTCACACCTGTCAGACTGGCTATCATCAACAAATCAACAAATCAACAAACGACAAGTGCTGGAGAGGATGTGGAGAAAAAAGGAACACTTGTGCACTGCTGGTGGGAATGCAGACTGGTGCAGCCACTATGGAAGACAGTATGGAGTTTCCTCAAAAAACTACAAATGGAACTCCCATTTGACCCTGTGATCCCTCTTCTAGGAATATATCCCAAGAAACCAGAAACACCAATCAGAAAGGATATATGCACCCCTATGTTCATAGCAGCACAATTCACCATAGCTAAGATCTGGAAACAGCCTAAGTGCCCATCAGTAGATGAATGGATTAGAAAACTGTGGTACATCTACACAATGGAATACTGTGCTGCTCTAAAAAGGAAGGAACTCTTACCATTTGCAATGGCATGGATGGAACTGGAGAGCATTATGCTAAGTGAAATAAGCCAGTCAATGAAGGAAAAATACCACATGATCTCACTCATTCATGGATAATAAAGACCATTATAAACTTATGAACAATAATAGATACAGAGGCAGAGCTGCTTCAAACAGACTGTCAAACTGCCTCGGGAAGGCCGGGGAGGGTTGGGGGGCAGGAGGGAGGGGGTAAGAGATCAACCGAAGAACTTGTATGCATGCATATAAGCATAACCAATGGACATAAGACACTGGGGGGTAGGGGAGGCCAGGGGATTGTCAAGGGCGGGGGGGGGGGGAAAAAAGGACACATATGTAATACCCTTTGTAATACTTTAAGTAATAAAATAATAAAAAAAATAAAAAAAATAAAAATAAACCTAAACATACTCCAACACCACCAAGGGTGAACTCTGGAAGTAAACTATGGAACTTGGGTGATAATGTGCATCAGTACAGGTTCATCCATTTAAAAAAATGCACCATCTAGTGAGGAATGCAGATAGTGAAGGAGGCTGTGCGTGTTGCGGGGTGGGGGGGTGGAGGGTGTGGGTGAGGGGGGAGGAGGGGACAGGAAGTACATGGGAAGTCTGAAATGCTCTAAAAATAGTCTATTAAATAAATAAGTTGGGCCCTGGACGGTGTCCTCAGTAGTTAGAGTGTCTTCCCATGCACTGAACGGTCATAGGTTCTATTCCCTACCTGGTTAGGCAAATATCCAGGTTGTGGGTTCGATCCCCGGTTGGGACACATGCATGAGGCAAACAATTGGTGCTTCTCTCTCACATCAATGTCTCTCTCTCTCTCTCTCTCTCTCTCTCTCTCTCTCTCTCTCTCTCTCTCTCTTCCTCCCCTTCTCCACCCCCTAGGAAAAGCTATCACTTAGAAGTACCTGTGGAAGTCAAGCAGGTTTTCTGAATCGATATAATCATCCAAGTTGAGGGTCAAATCTGACACTTGCTGTGAGCCATATTCCTAGAAAAAAAAAAGAGAGATGGACTATTTCTGGGCGAAAGAAACATGTATGTGCACAAAGAGACATAGATAAGGACTGTTTATAATACAAGAAATACCCTTCTAATGATTGGGGACTTCTCTGATTTAGGAATATCATTTTTTTGAGGCAGAGCCCAGAAAACCTACTTCCTAGGCTCTTTTGCAGCCTGGGCACAGGCATATAACTGAGGAGCCAAAAAGATGCACAACTTCGACATGGAGGTGGGCAACATGGGGAAGCAGGCTGAGCAAGAGACAGACATCTTACTAAGGAGGGGCTCCAGCATCAGTGGCTCAGGAGAAGCAGCACCAGGCCAGGCAGTGCTGGCCAGTCCCTACCACCCTTGTGGTGGCCACAGCAGTGGTTTCAGTGGCATGGTTTGGGGCACTATCCTGGAGCCCAGATGTGAACCTGTTTTCTAGCCCTTCCAATAATTAAAGGAAACTATCCCAATTCTTCCACAAACCCAATCTGTAAACTAACCTGAAGGGATTTTGTTGTTTGAAACTAAGAACCTTGTCTGATACAAGATCTAAGTGTTCATCAAAAGGATAAATAAATTATGGTATTATGGAATATGGCATAATAAATTAATGAATAATTATAGCTACTAGTATATGCATTCCTATGTAAAGATCTCCAAAATATACTTTTCCATGAACACACACAATCAGAACAAAAAGAAAATCACTGCCTTCATGGTGCTCACTGTCCAGTGATAGAATACAAACATTAACCCAAAGCATGAATAAGTACATAAGTACACATTGTGGTACCAGGCAGGAAAATGAAAGGATCAAGTAGAGAAGTACACTTTAGATTTTTCTGGCAGGTGAGAGTAGGTAGTTAGGACTGAGCTTTCTGAGGAAGTGAACTAAGAGAGGGCGTAGGCCTGGCTAAAGAAAGGGTGAAGAGTGTGTATGCCTGTGAGGCCCTCACAGGGGGAAGAGCTTCCCAGCACAGGAACCAAGAGATGTAAAGGCTTCAAGGCAGCAAGAAGAGAAGCTTAGATAAAGAACTAAAATATCCCCCAGGGCAGGGATCCTCAAACTACGGCTGGCGGGCCATATGCAAATACAAATATTGTATTTGTTCCCGTTTTGTTTTTTTACTTCAAAATAAGATATGTGCAGTGTGCATAGGAATTTGTTCATAGTTTTTTTTTAAACTATAGTCCAGCCCTCCAATGGTCTGAGGGACAGTGAACTGGCCCCTGTTTAAAAAGTTTGAGGACCCCTGCCCCAGGGGCTATGGTTTTTCCTCCCAGATTGTCACCGAATGGACTTATCTTAATTTACTTAACCATTCCCCTGTGATGGAAAGCCCTCCTCACCACCACCCCCACCCTCGCCAATACCAGTGGTGAAAATCTTTGAGCACAAAGCTTTCTATCTTTAGGGTTCTTGCCTCAGGATAAAGATCCAGAAGTAGGAAATGGGTAAAGGCTTCACAAATATTTAGGGTTCTTCATCCATACAGTTAAATGGGTTTCACATCTACTCTCATCACCAGATCCCTCCTTGTCTCAGACACTCACCAGCACATTGATGATCATGCTCTTCTCCACAGTGACAGCCTTCATAAGGAGCTTTCTGGACCCCTCCTTCGACTCATACCGGAGGACGTACAGGTCTTTATTGTTGTTCCATCCGACAGGCAGCAGTTCTGATTTCTTATCACTGGGAACTGGCTGAGAAGACACCAGGGTTGAGAGGAGGAAGGTTACAACCTCAGAATACAGCTATGAAGGATTTATAATCTAATCACATTGCTTGCTTCACAGATGAGGGCATAGGGTCAGGAGCTCTGGGACTCAGGTCTCTGGACTCACGCTCCTGCTCCTCTCTCGTCTCTGACTGCCTTTGTCACACAGCACTGGAACCTGTCAAGAATCTGCCTTGCTTCAATAATCTCCTCGCCATCCCTCTGCCAAGAATAAGGCCAATCATTTCAAGGAAATCTGTGAAATTCTAAGGTAGTGTTTTTAAAAGTCTGGAACGTGGGCCATCTACAATAGGATCACTAAAGTGTTGACTAAAATACAGATTCTAATGTACCCCCCTCCAGATTACTGTAGTGGCTTAACAAAAATTATGAACAATTTCATACACGTACAAAATATAGCATATGTACAAGATAAAAAAGAACTATAAAATGGACACCTATGTATCTGCCACCAGCTTAAGAGATAGAATATCACCAATACTGCTAATGCCTTGAGTGGTGTACCCCCAATGAAGCTCTCCTCCTCCCCCTCACGGGTTATTACTACTCTGTATTTCTAAAAACTTCTTTACTTTTCCTTATAGTTGTATTACTATGCACACAACCCTAAAAATAAAATTTTCAAATGTTTTTGAATTTTATATAGATTGTATCAATTTATCACTTGCCTTTTTCATTCAATGGTTTTTTGAGATTCATCCATGTCAATGCATTTCACTATAGTTGATTCACTATACAGCATTCCATTGCTCTACAGTTCACAGCTATATAGCATACCATTGTATGAATATCATACAAGTTACACTTTCACTTGTTGGTAGGTATTTGGAGTGTGTACAGTTTATCTGTTTAGCTATTATAAAGACTGCTATAAACATTCCTGTACACATCTCCTACTACACATGTGGATAAATTTCCATACAGTATGTCTGGGGGAAGGACTTTTAATTTATAAGATAAAGTGTAATTGTATCCCAAAGAGATACTGATTTATAATCCCATCAGCATAAGAGTTCCTGTTGCTCCGTGTGGTCAGCAACGTTGCTATTGTCCAATTTAAATATTTTTGCCAACCTGGTGGGTGAAAAATGCATCACTGAGAGTTGTGATGTCTTTCTTCTTTTTTTTCTTTTTAGCAACCCCAGGACTTTCCTTTTATACACTAGAGTTTGAAAAACAGTTCTCAAACTATTTCTGTAGTAAGAACTAATATAGTGACTTCCAGGTGGGGAAAGATTTCTTAAACAAAACTGACAAAAGAAAAAAAGTGCTGCCTTTGAGACTATTCATAATTTAAAGCTTCTCTTCAACAACAGACACTACAAATAGGCAGCCACAGGTTAGGATGAGGTATCTGCCATGGCTACAAATGAAAAGAATTAATAAAGGGAATGCTTGGAAATGAATAAAAGTTGTGAACCCACTTGAAAAACTAGCAAAAGATATGAATAAGCAAAAGATAAGAGCAGCTAACAGTGTATAAATGATTGTTTAATAGCACTTAGAGAAGCACTGGTTAAAATAATGAGATACCAGGTTACACTTCAGATTGGTTATTATCCATATTTCTACTTTTTGTCAGGTGTTTGTGTGGGTGTGGGAAGAATAGGACCCCCCAGACACTGCTTTCTGGTAGCCATTTTTACAACCACTTTGGAGGGCAATCTGGTAGTATTCAGTGCAATGAGGCGAGCTGACACGCCATGACCTCCACTCCTGGAAGAAAACCTGTGCACAGAGGCACAGAGGACATGACAAATAATTTTCATCACCAAAGTGGAGGGGAAATAAGACATCTCCTCATAGAGGAGCATGATATAGCAGTGAGAAGGAACAAACTAGATCTAAAAATCTATACTAATAATCTATACTCGTGGTCGGCAAACTGCGGCTCGTGAGCCACATGCGGCTCTTTGGCCCCTTGAGTGTGGCTCTTCCTAAGCCTTAGGAGTGCCCTAATTAGGTTAATAACAATGTACCTACCTATATACTTTAAGTTTAAAAAATTTGGCTCTCAAAAGAAATTTCAATCGTCGTACTGTTGATATTTGGCTCTGTTGACTAATGAGTTTGCTGACCACTGATCTATACTAATAAAAGGGTAATATGCAAATTGTTAGGATGCCCTCATGCAACAACCGAACAGCAGACTGTGTGGGGCAACTAGGCCAGCATGGGGGGCAGTGAGGGGTGACCAAATGACCGAAGAGCAGGCTGTGTGGGGCGACCAGGCCGGCAGAGGTGGGCAGTGAGGGGCGACCAGGTTGGCAATGGGGGACAGTTGGGGGTGACCAGGCAGGCGGGGGGGGGGGGGCAGTGAGGGGTGACCAGGCTGGTAGCGGGGGTCAGTTGGGGCAATCAGGCCAGTGGGGGGGCGGGGGGGGGCAGTTAGGGGCGACCAGGCTGGAAGGGAGACAGAGAGGGGCGACCAGGCTGGAAGGGAGACAGAGAGGGGCGACCAGGCTGGCAGTGGGGGCAGTTAGGGGCAATCAGGACAGCAGGCAGAGGTGGTTAGGGGTGATCAGGCCAGCAAGGGGGGCAGTTTGTGGCGATTAGGCAGGCAGGCAGGCAGAGGCTGTTAGGGGCAAACAGGCAGGCAGGGAGGTGAGTGGTTAGGAGCCAGCGGTCCCGAATTGTGAGAGGGATGTCTGACTGCCAGTTTAGGCCTGATCCCTGGGATTGGGCCTAAACTGGCAGTCGGACATCCCCTGAGGGGTCCCAGATTGGAGAGGCCCCCCACCCCATGCACTAATTTCATGCACCAGGCCTCCAGAGTGTGTGTGTGTGTGTGTGTGTGTGTGTATGACAAAAAAGGTTAAGAAAAAATGAGATTTATAGCTGGGTGACATTTATGCACACATTTTAAAAATGCACATAAAATATTTTTTTTCATGGATGCATATTTATACAGCTGAATATGGAGAAAGTGGACTGGGAAGATCTGTATTCATGAGAATATAGTATGAGAGAGTGGAACCAAAGATGAAGAACAAGGGCAAAAGACAAAGGTCCAGCAACCCCAAGGACAGCAGGAAGCCAAGAGTGGAGAATTGGGGGCCTCTCTGATCACCCCTGATATTCAGGAACCCAATGGGGGGAGAAGTTCCAAATAAAGGTCAAGATGTTGCAACTGGCATGGTTTAAAACCTGGATGGCTGACAAGGAAACTCACAGGCTTGAAGCAGAGAAATGAGAGTAAAGGAAACCAAAAGTGAAACTAATCAAATCACTCTGCTAAGTGAGTAAGAGAAACTCTCCCTTCATCCCAACTGCTAAGTTTCCTGTAACATGGTTAGCATTGTGGATTTACGGTTTATTTTGGAAGCCAAGAATTTGATAAAAATCTGTCTTTGTTCTGTTAAGGGCCTCTGAATATATGTCCTCCATCTATAGCAGTGATGGCGAACCTATGACACGCGTGTCAGAGGTGACATGCGAACTCATTTTTTGGTTGATTTTTCTTTGTTAAATGGCATTTAAATATATAAAATAAATATCAAAAATATAAGTCTTTGTTTTACTATGGTTGCAAATATTAAAAAATTTCTATATGTGACACGGCACCAGAGTTAAGTTAGGGTTTTTCAAAATGCTGACACGCCGAGCTCAAAAGGTTCGCCATCACTGATCTATAGCAACCCATCAGAATTTTTTCTTAGAATATAGGTAACTCAGTCTGTTCACTATCCCATAACCTCTGGCTTCCAGAATAAGAGAATCCTGGGGCCAAGTGAGGTGATGCCTCTCACTGCAGTGGAACCGATGTTCCTCAGCTCAAGGGCTGCCTTGATATGGGGAAAACAGGTGGGACAGAGAGGGACTGGCCCCAGTGATATCAGTCCAAATATAGAGGGCATTCACTGCCCTCTAGGCCCTGACAGCAAATATCAGGTCTCCCAGAAAGCTACAACTGGAAAGTAGCCAAAGTGCAATTGTGTAGTTTACTTCCCTTGGAGGAAAATCTAAGAAAGGGCTGACAGGGCCTGAGAATTGCCCAAAGTCACGGTAAGTCAGGGACAGAGCTGGATTTGGTAGTCAGAGCTTCTGGTTGCCCTGGCTATGGCTGGAGAAGATTTTTCCCAGCCAGAACCACCAGGTTGACTTCAAGAAAGGAAATGCAGTTGTCCCCTTAGGCAAACTGCTGGGGCTGGATGCCTTCTTTAATGGTCTTGAGTTCATCCCAGTGCCTCTGGGCTAAAATGTGCCCAAAGAAACTCAAATTGATCATTCTGGGCATTTTCTCTCTTTCACCATACTACAACACAAAACAATATTTCTAACTAAATCTATGACCATCTCTGTCCCTTGCCACCTAAGCCACTTGACACAGCTGTAAAACTCTTATGAGGCATGGCACTGACTTCAGGAAAGAAATACAAATTCAAATATTGGCTTTTTATTAAAGCCAGTGAATGCATTGTTCTCCTAATCAAGTATTATGTACACAATTCCCCAGTACCAAAGGAGACAAAACCAAATAGAGGAGACAATTTAGCTTCTTATTTAATTGCCAATATATTATATAATCAAGCACATACACACTTTTGGGACCTTCCTCTCTCTTTTATCACCCAAGAAGGGTGGGGAGCAGAAGGTGGCTAGATAGGCAACACACACACATCCTCTGAGTTTGGCAGACACTACTGGTCTCTGCCGAGTCTTCCGGTCCCAGGCCAGAAAATTAAACTCCTCTTAAATAAATTACTAGGAAAGATGCCTCAACTCTGAAGAAGTAGACTCAGCAGAAGTGAGAGGAGGACACATGCAACCTGAGCTCCAATGACAGTTAAAAAAGAGAGGCCAAGAACAGCAGAAATATACTCAAACGTGCAATACAAACACCCATCCCCTCCAAGAGCATGCACACTTTAGCACTGGGTAGTCATGTGAACAGTGGGCAGTGCCTTCCGAAACCCTCATTCCCACTCCCCCTGGCCTCCCCTATGATGTGTGGAGCTGAAACATTTTCTGTATGAACTCAGCACATAGCACTATGAATAGAGTGGAACTAGATGGACCTTCGGGAATTAAGGATCTTTTATTTACTTTCTAAAACCAGTATTAAAATGAGATCATATTCTTTCTGATCATTTCACCTGAAAATTTTGGGGTCCCGAGTATATGGCAAAGGGGATGATGCTGGCTGGAAGGAGGCAATAAGCTAAGCTGTCGAAGTGAATCAGAGTTGCTGACAGGATGCGAGAGGGACGAGTGGTAGAAGCAGATCTGCAGTGTTGACATGTCTTTTTAGCGTGGGGAGAAGAAAAGGGAGTCACACAGGCCCTCTGTAACAAAAACCTGCTCCTGGGGAGAGAGGTTCTGACAGTGCGTTAGAGGAGCAGTAGCTAGCCGGCAGGAGATAAGGAGAGGGGCAGAGAGTGGGGCAGGCATGTTAGATCTGAAAGACAAGCAAAGAGGTGGGGGGAGCTCCAAGGTCATGACCAAGTCTAACTCCCCTCTCCCATCCCACTGTTCCCTGTGCTATCCCACACATCAGCTTTCTGGGAGAAGTTCCCAGGAAAGACTGAAATGAAATGATTAGGGCAAGTGAAAGTGTTAAAGATGAGAAAGCTGGAGTGGGGCAGGTGAGGAGATGCTGGGGAGACTATACACTGAAAGGGGAAACGGGACTCTTGCGAGTGGGGACTGTCTCTACCTTGTCCCAAGGTCTGAAGTGCAGGGTAAACAGGCCACAAAGGCATTTGGGAGGGAGAAATGGCTCTTGCTCTGTGTGTGTGTGTGTGTGTGTGTGTGTGTGTGTGTGAGAGAGAGAGAGAGAGAGAGAGAGAGAGAGAGAGAGAGAGAGAGAGAGAGATTGGCCCTTCTTTTCCGTCTAGAGAGAGAGAGAGAGAGAGAGAGAGAGAGATTGGCCCTTCTTTTCCGTCTTATCACCAGTCCTAGAGTCCGCATGAGGGATGAAGTATGTGTGAACCTAGAGGTGGGAATAAAGGAAGCTAAGTGTGTATTGGGGGGCCCGTGAGAAACTTGAGATCTGGTGGTAGAGTGGGGGTCGGGGGGTCGGGGGGAGAGGCCCAGAAACCCATGACAGTTCTTGTGCTTCTGCTCCCTGTCCTGGGAGTAAAGTGTGAGAGAAGGTGGTGGTCCTGGCCACTAGTTCTAAGAGACAGCGGATGGGGCAGCCAGGGATGTGGGGAAGGACCTGGCCCCACGTGCTCAGGGCGGATAAACCATCTTCGAGGAAGGATTCCCGAAGCTCTGGGCAGAGAGGAAAGGTTCAAGACTCTGGATGTACATCTGAGAAATAAAAAGGATTAGCGAGCTCGAGAACTGAAGCAGTGAGAAGTGAGAGCAGGGTCAAACATCTCACTGTTGGATGCAAGAGGGGAGGGGCCCTGCTCCCAGAGCTGGTGTAGGTTCTGCCCGGGAGAGGAGCGGAACCCGGAGCGGTCTTGGAGTTCTGAGTGTGTGTACCTGGGAAGCCCGGCAGGGAAGGTGTTCTCTCTGGTAGAGCAGAAGGAAAATAAAGGGGCAGGAGGGGGCCGGGCCCAGGTCTCACAGGAAGCTGATGTGCAGGATGAGAGGCACAGGGGAGGGGCAGGCGACACGAGTTAACCACGAGGGGCTCTGTGGGGATCACGGCCCCGGAGGCAGAGGGGAGGGTGGGAGAGCAGGAGGGGCTGGTCCTGTAGGGACAGCTGTGGGGAGGAAACCTTCCCTGGCCCGCACGCGCGTGTGTACGTGTGTGAGGTGCTGGTTTTCCAGAGCCTGAGCTGGGGACGACAGCAGCGAGTGGTCTGCAAAGGATGGAGGGTGTGAGCTCTCTGGGCCCAGGCTGAGGCGTGAAGAAAGGGCCCTTGACAAGGGCTGCGTAGGTCCACGCTCACCCCGACACCCATGCTTGGATCCCGCTATCCGGTGGGGACCCCGGTACAGTATGAGGGCAGCCTCCCCGCCCCGACTGTGTGGGAAGGAACTTAGCGGACACTCCAGGTGGGTGAGGCGTGCGCAGGGGGGCTACCCCCGTCTCGGTGCCAGGCCCACACAGTCCTGGCCTCGGAGACTGGCAGGCTGTGCTGAAAGCAAGTTTCTGACCGTGGGTTTTCCACACACTGTGTTGTGAGGTGCTCTGAGCTGAGCTGGGGCAGCAGAGCCCCTCCCCAGCCGCAGTCTGTACCAATGGTGCCGTGAAACCGAGACCTGGGAGAGGGGAAGGTCAGAGCCCTGCACCAGGCCTTCGGTCCTATGGGTTTGGGCCGAGAGCACCTTCGCCCCTCCGCCCTAGCTCCGAGCCGCTCCGTGGCGTACCTGCTCGCCGGCACCCACGCTGTAGTAGCCGCGCGTCACCAACTCCCAGTGCAGGAAGCAGACCAGCGCGTCCTGCGCACAGGTGATCGCCGGCGCCGCCGACGCGAACAGAACCTCCAAGCCCGCCATGCGTGCCCCCGGCTTCTGCGGGCAGAGGAAGGGAGTGAGGAAGTGCGGTGAGCCGATCGGCCCTCCGGGAACTGATGACTCCGCACCGATAATCCACTCGCTCCGGCTGCTTCCACCCACAGCCAAAATGGAGACGCCCTCGGGTAAGGGGGCGCGGCTGCCGGAAGTAGCTCTAAAGCGCGGCGCAGCTGCGCGAGCGCGTCCGGGCTGGAAACATGAGCGCAACACATAAAGGTTCCTCCAGGCAGTGCGCGGGCGGGGCGGGCGGGGTCCCCAGCTGGAATCCCGACCTTCCCAGGTTGCTAGCAGGACCGCTGCAGGTAGGGTGTTGCGTCCTGGAGGAGAGGCTCCCTTATTCTAAGCCACAGACTTCCCATCCTCAGAATGGGGTAGGCGCATACTAATGGGGGGAGATGTTATGAAATATGCCAAAAATAGACTATTAATAGTAATGGCCTCTTAGTCATTTCTTGCTACGTGCCACATTATTCGAAATGCTTCACTACTTGTATTTATTTATTTAATCCTCATGACCCATATAAGGTTGGTATTATAGCCCATTTTACAGATGGGTAAACAAAAATGCAAAGGGTTAAATTTGACCAAGATAACACAGCCATACAGTGAGTATGGCAGAGATGGAATTAGGACTTAGCTGACTGGCTCCTAGAATAGCATTTTTATTATTTTTAATCCTCACCTGAGGATATTTTTTCCCATTGATTTTTAAAGAGAATGGAGGGTAGGGAAGAGGGAGAGAGAGAAAAACATCAACGTGAAAGAGACACATGTTTTGGTTGCCTACCCTATGTGCCCGGACCAGAGCAGGGTATCAAACCTGCAACTGAGGTATGTGCCCTTGCCCGGGAATCGAGCCCACAACCCTTCCATCAATGGGCTGAGGCAACCACTGAGCAATCGCCTGGGCTAGGATAGCATTTATTAAATGTTTATTGTGTACTAGATGCTGTGCCAAAACCTTTACATCACCCTAACAACAATTCTGAGGTATGTTCCATTATCACCTCCATTTTTCAGATGATAAAACCAGCTCAGAGAATCAAGGCCACTTCCCCCAAGAAAACAGCTGCCTGCCGCAGAGCTGAAGTTCCTGATCTACTACTAAATTTCTATAGTTTATTTGCCTGTCTCCTTCATGATTTTTACCACCTATTATTTCTTCAACAGGTTTCTTGAAATCTAGTTTCCCATCCCAGTCAGCAATTGGCTGCAAGTCATTGTCATCTCTCATGTTGATGCCTATGCTACCCTCTGAACTGCCCTCTCCTGAACGCCTCTCCTACGTTCTGCAACTATAGATTATGTTAGAACATACACTAGCTCACATCCCACCTCTGCCCAAAACTCCCAGGGCTCCCATCACACTCAAAGGAAAAGTAAAGTCCTCCCAGGAACCTGCATGTGGTCTGCACCCCCATCCCTCCCTCAACACTTAACTCTCTCTGACATTAGCTACTCTAACTCTCCCCTCATCACCTGCATTCTTGGTTGCAATAATCTTTTTTTTTTTAAAACCAAAAAATATTTATTTACAAAAACGGGCAGTGGAGCAGATTTGGCCAACCTGCGATTTAGATGGAAGTATTTATCCAATAATAACAAAGGGACTACTAATACGTTTAAGGCCAATTTACCTTTTACCAAGGAACCAATATCTAATATAGTGTTCTTGGGGTCAATTATACATTTTAAAGATAAAGATATGTAATATTGATCTTTATGAACATAGAATAACCTCTACTAAGGATTTAAAAATTTATTACAAAAATCCAGGGCACAAAATTTCATTTTGAAATGTTGCATTGGTTGCAATAATCTTGACTCCCATCTTCTCTCACACCCACATTTGCTTCAACAGCAAAGCTAGTCGACTTCTTGACTGCCTCCACCTTGATCTGATACTCTAGCGTGTCATACTTGGACTATTGCAGTAGCCTCCTGCCCAGTCTCTCTCTTTCACATGTTCTATTCTCCTGGCCTTTCTCTGCATGTACTGCTGTCATTGCCTGGAGTGCTCTCTCTCCAAACATCTGCATAGTTCATTCCTTCCTTTAAGGTGACTCCTTCCCTCATCTCCTACTAGCCTCAGCAGAGAGCTTCCCTGACACCCATCCAAAACAACCTCCTTCATGCAACCACTTTTTTTTTCTTTCCTGAAAAGTATTAATCATAACCTGATATTATATTAGGTATTTGTTTGCTTGTTTATTTAATGACCGTGTTCCCACTAGACTGTGAAAAGGAGCAGAGACCATGTTTGTCTTGGATACAGGTATGCCTGAGTACCTTCCCAGTTCAATATATACTTATTGAATGAATGTATGGATGAATGCATGCATGCACGTGTGAATGAATGAATGATGAGTGAATGAATGAATGGATGAATGAATGATTGGGCTAGTCTCACTCACCCTTTTTGCAGTCCACCACTCACTTTGTTAGCTGGCCTTGTATCTCTCAAAATTTTGTGTTCTTGAGGTAACCTTTGGATGCCCAGATTCTTACACCTCATCTGTGGAGATTCTAGATGAGCAGGTCTAAGATGGAATGCAGGTATGTTGACCACACTCTGGGTGATGCTACAGCTGGGGACTGTGGAACTCCTGAGATGTATTGCAGGTGGCATAGGCTATTTGCTCTTTCCACCAAGATTCTCTGCATTTTCAGGCATCCCTGATTTTACTTGCTGTGTCTCTTCTGCTCCCAATCTCTTTCACCAGTTATGGAAAATTCCACCAATTCATTCATTTAATCATTAACTAAACCTCCATAGGCTGGGTTGCCCTGGATGGTGATGCAGGCTATGTACTGCACAAAGGTGCCCACCCCAGTGGCAGCCCTATCCCTAAGTGCCTACTGTGATCCAGGCCCAGATGAACAAGCCATAGTTCCTGCCACTATGGAGCTCACTGTCTAGTGGTAAAGAAAAGGATCCCCAGTGTGAAAACCATGATGGCAGAGGGACACTTGGTGGTCTGTGCAAGCCCAGAAGAGGCAGCTAATTCAGGGCAGGGGTCATGGAGGGCTTCTTAAAGAAAGAGATGCCCAACTGCACTGAACTGTAGTGGAAGATAGGGAGCTGAAGGTGTACCAGAAATAGGGAGCAGCATATGCAAAGGCTTGGACGTGTGAAATGCAGCCAGTACTCTGTGATTAGAGGGTCAATGCTGCCTCCTGAATGAGGCCTCCCTTCATCTCCTCTGCCCAAAATTAATTACGCTCTTCTTAGTGCCATTGGCCAGTGGGGGTGCCAAAGGGCGGGCACGGGACAGAGAGAGCTAGCAGACTCAGTGGGGAGGAGAATTTTATCATTCCAGATGATAAAATGCCTGGTTCATGGTGATAATAAAAAGTAGACGGGCTGTTGATCAGTTTTATTATTGCTTTAAGGTTTTTTTTTTTTAAATAGACAGTGTGTCCTTGCCTGCACTTGGGCAGACAGCGCCCCATCCCCCTTGGTTTGTCCACTGCTTTGGGTACAATTGGTTATAACTTGAATCCCACAGAAATTTGGTTCCCTGTTATACATCATCACCCCTGTTAGCTTGTGTTCCCTCAGAAGCCAATGTGAGGCAAGGATTTGAATGGTTTATTTGGGACCTGATTCCAGGAAATAGCAGTAAGGGAGGAAGGGAGTGAGACAGGGAAGGGAAGGAAGCCTTAGGTGTTATGTGATCAAGCCAAGGTTTCACCTCTTTGCATCTGGACATGAGTTGTCCCAATTGAGAGCAAAGGAACGGGGGGGGGGGGGGTGTTTCTTGTTCAAGATGCAGCCTGCAGCAGGTTGAGTGAGGGCTGCTTCTGGGGGCGTGAAAAGCCCTCAGGCAGAGAATTGCAGAGTTTAGAGAAAGCAGCCTTTGGTGCTTAGTGGTGAGTGCTGAGGAGTGAGTGGGGCACCATGGCATTTGCTTCCCCCTTCTCTCCCACCCCCCACCCCCAGCCCATTAAGGGTGAGCCATGTCTTTGAAAATTTCTGGCCCAGCAGCCACCATGGAGTAGGCACTAACATTTGTATACTGAAAGAATAAGGTAAGCTCTGACTATTGCACTAGGCTGTGAGTCCCCTGAGGGCCAGGACTGTGTTCTGTCCACCCTGGACCTCAGGGTCTCCATGGTTCTCCCTGGATGGGAACAAATAGGAGGGTCCCGTGGGGCTGGAGCTTGTCCATGTCTGCCCCTGGTCCATCCATCCAGCACTTTCTGTGGACTTACCTTTATTACCAGGAGTCTCAGTTGTTCCTGTGAGGCCTGTGTGCAGCTGAGAAGTTAAACAGGTGGAAGGTGCCTTGTTAGCTGGGCACCCGCTGCCTGGGCGGTGCAGAGCCCATGGGCCCAGGATGATGGAAGAACATGGCAGGTGGCTGCAGCCACCAGTTCCTGGTTGCCAAGTAACAGCAATGTGAGTATTCCAAGTTATCTGGAAACTGTCTCCCTGGAAACTGTAGAGGTGAGCTAAGGGGCAGGTCCCATGTGGACCCGGAGGTAGTATCATTCACCGCTGGAATCCTTCTTCTGTTCCTTTTGCCTAGCATAAGCCCAACCACCTCACCTCCTCAAGGAGGCTCTCCATGATTAGTACTGCTCAGTACTAACTGAAACCCAAGACCTCCCATTCCCCTTTTCAGTGGGGTGCACAGCATATTTGACATCTGGAAGAGAGAACTCTATTTTAAAATAATACAACTAATATCACTCTATTAGGTTTTTTTTTGAAAGATTTTTTTGTGGTAAAATACACATAATATAAAATTTAACTGTCTTAACTATTACAAGGGTATAGTTCAGTAGTATTAAGTACATTCACATTGTTGTGCACTCACTTTCACCAGTATTTTCAGAACTCTTTTCATTTTGCAAAACTGAATCTCTGTGCCCATTAAACAACAACTCTCCATTCCTCCCTCCTCCCCATCCCTGGCAACTACCATTCTACTTCTGTCTCTAAGGATTTGACGATTCTAGGTACCGCATATAAGTGGAATCACACTGGATTCGTCTTTTTGTGACTGGCTTATATCACTTAAAATAATGCCTTCAAGGTTCATCTATGTTGTAGCATGTGCCAGAATTCCTTTCTTTCTAAGCCTTAACAATATTTCATAGCCGATGTCTATATCTATCCACATTAATATAT